CACACCCACACCCCACACCCCACACCCACACCCCACACCCCACACCCACATCCACACCCACACCCCACACCCACACCCACACCCACACCCACACCAACACCCACACACCCACACCCGCAATTGATAACAAGTACATTACACAATAGCAGCAATAACTGCCACAAGCCATGCTAATTTCAATGATAATGATAAATAATTCAAGCTTTCGACTGAAATTTCACTATATGTCGAATATTTTTGATGAGTAGTTGATTTTATTGTTTCACAATTTCTTTTAATGACCAATGGAAACAACACCGACAAACTTCATCTCGATCATTTTTTTTTAAATGGATTAATTGAAATAAAAATAATAAAATGAATGTTATTCTATCTTTTGATATTAATAAAGACAAAGCTAAAAGTGTTTTGTTTCATGGTAATAAAGAAATAATTGCTCATTTAAATATTATGAAAAACTGAACGATCATCTAGTATTAAATTACGATGGAGAACTTTTTGGACCTTAATTATTTCGATTGATCACATATACCTAATAAAAATATTGTTTTCACGTTACGAAAAGCTGTTCGAAATCTGGCAGTAGGTGCCATTCCAAATTGTTTAGTCAAATGAACTGTTATACTTAATCAAGATACATGAATTATTTCATGAAGAACTTGCTATATCATAGAGAAAAGTTCATCTCGATATCTTTCTGCATTCGTCAGAAACTATTCACGAGTTGAAAATTTAAAAAACAAAAAACGTACATTGTCATACACACCGATATTCAAAGAGTTGATTCAGGTACCTCTATCTTTCTCTCATGTTCAGAAGCAAATTTATTTGTGATTTTGTTACAAATAGAAAAAATAGATCTGAGCACCATTGATGTCAACAATACAGAATTTATTTCTCTTATTTTTATTATATGAGCGTCCTGTTTAAGCAAGATTCAAGAATAATAATAGACTTTTCAAAAAAAAAGAAAAGAAAAGCCACTTTTAAAAATACAAATTGTTATTTTGTTTTCACATATTATTGAAAATAGCTGTTTTTCCTTATCAATGTTATGTTATGATTTCGAGCAAATAGAAAACCCTATCAATGGTAATTAGCGAATTGTGAATTGATAAAATAAAAAATATTTTTTTTTGTTATATGTAAATTCTAATAAATGCGCTGATTTGTCGTCGACATATTGGACACAATTGCAGTGAATGACCACATGCAACACATGTTGCCATATGACCACATGGCACACAAGCCAATTGCTTTTCCTCTGTCAGACATAGAACACAAAGATTTGATGACTCTGAAGTACTTGATTCACTTCGATCATTGATACTAGTTATTTGTTTATTTATTTGTGTTTCACGCCCATTGTCACTGTTCGTTGATTTTAAGGTTGTGTTAATAGAAGATTGAGAATATGCAGATTCCTTTGTTAATGATTGCGATGACATAGTTATCTCACCATCTGTTAAATTTAGTATAGATCCAGCTGCATTAGGTATCATTGATATTTTTTTGTGCAATTTTGCCTCTAGAAAATAAGAACATTTAAATAAAGAATATATCTATAACAAAGTCACCATTTTGTTCTCGAATTTGTTTCATTTTAATACTTTGTATAATAATATTTTCTTTCTTACCATCAATATGTTCGATTTGTTTTTGAAGAATTAAACAAGCAATATATAAATCACAATCGGATGTAAAGTCATCGTCTGTATAAAATATTCAAAAAGAAAATACAAGAGACAATATGCTATTGATTAACGTACGTTTTATTCGTAATTGATCTTCCCAACATTTTTTAATAATCGATAATTTAAACTTTTGATTTAATAATCGCTGTGACATCGATAGGTCTAATCGTGCTGTGACAAGTCTGGATAAGGTACTTTGATCAGGTATTAATAACTGTGTACTATTTGCTGTTACATTAATGTTTACCAGATCATTTAAGCCTGTGCTCTCTTTTAACTTGTTAATTTTGGCACGTTCTACCAAAGAAAAAAAGGAATCAATTATATCTAGGCATAGATAATGTTTCAAAACTTACGTTGTTGTATTCGTTTAGATTCTTGAATTTTACGATATAAATCTTCTCCACACAATTGTTTAGCATATGCACAATATGGAAACCAACGAGCATGTTCAATCATTGGATTATCATTTAAATTCCAATTTTGTAATGACCCATTACAATAAAAACAAGTAACAATGGTTTCTGTACCTGTATAGAAAAATCCTGCTCGAACCAAATTATCTACTAGTGATAAATTTTCATTTGGCCATGAAGCGAATGATGCATGCCGTTTGGGTATTTCTGAATAAGCAGGATTACATGCTGCTCTAAATACAATATCACTAGATTGTATTGAGCTAAGATTATTTGATATTGATGAAGGAATGCCTGAAGTTGTTGTCGTTGAATCTTCGTTGACAATAGTTATTGATGAAGTTACAGGATGCATCAATCTTGCTCTGACATATATGCAATTCGATGATAGAGTTTTATGTAATTCACATGGATCATCAGTATATGGTGTCCATTGTTGAACAATAAGGTTACAATAGATGCATATTACTCGATCACCAATATTGCAATTAAAAAATCCAGCTTCAATCATTTGTGCACTTGATGGAACAGTACGATGTGGCCAATGAGAAAAGGTACGCCTCCTCACTTGTTTAAGTAAATCAGTTTCAAGCAAACTATTTGATACAGATTGGAAATTCATCGTTTCTATTTTTTGACCTTTAAAAGTGTTTTCTTCTGTAATTGACATCAGTGTATTTCGGGTGGTAATTAATGGTGATGTGAACGACACAGGCACATCTGATGATGAATTTGGTACTAAAGAGCGTACAAATAGGCAATTAGGTTGACGCTTTGAATGAATAGTGAATGGGTCCATGTCCAATGTCCAGCTGGCTATCTCAAGCCCGCAGTCTTTACAACGAGCTGTATCTCCATCGCCTACGTATTCAAAGCCGATAGTAGACATATAGTTATCAGTATAAATGGTTGATCTCTTTATTGATTTAACTAATGTTTGAATCCGATTAATAGCTGAAGCAAAAATTGGCGAATTTGTTTTTCTCTTATCAAATGATTTCGATAAATCATACATTGATTTGTATTTATCAAATGCATTACTCAAGGTATCGCTTGGAAGCTTGACTGTGGTCGACATTTTGCTTTTAGTACTGATAAAGTCTAGAGAAAATAGTATTTATAAATGAACGCTTGATTTATACAAGTTTCATATAGATTTTAATGATATCTAGTGGAAAAAATTTCTTCAGCCGATGGGTTGCATCCGATACAAACATATATTGCAGATAACCAAGGGGGAAACAGCGGACTTCAAGACTTCAAGACTTCAAAAGACTTCAACAGACTTCAACAGACTTCAGCCGCTGTGACTTCATATTTTCACAAGACTTCAGAAGACTTCTAAAGACTTCTGAAGACGTCATAGGACTTCAAATGACTTCGCAAGACTTCATAAGACTTCGTATGACTTCATGGGTCTTCAAAAGACTTCAAAAGACTTCGTTACACTTCNCTCTGACGATGACGACACACCATATCAATGTACTCAATTTCTACCAGCTGATCTTACGTTAGGTAGATTTAATAATCTTCGTTCTCTAACATTTGATTGTGTTAGTTCAGATTCATAAATTAAACAATCATTTTTTCCCGACTTATATCATCTAGATCGTTTAACACATCTTAAATTTATCGATTGTTTCATGCCAATATAGAAGATTTTCAAAATATAATTGATCAAACTTGGAATCTATCAAAATTGACTCATTTATATTGGCATTTCAGTTTTACAGACAGCTGATAGTCATTTTTTCTATTCTTTCTGTTGTATCAAGATCTTTGAAAAATGTAACTATTTGTCAGGATTATTGGTGTTCATATCAATTTCTTGATTTGTTTGAAAAGACACCTCAATTAGAAAAATTCTCAACAGCATTCATTACTTATGAAGAAGATAATCTTCCTCTTTTTAGTAAATTCATACCGTCACCTAAGAATCTAACTGACGTACGTTCATATCGTCTAATGATTAATCTATTTCAATTGTTGCCTAATATTACTCATTTAAAAATTGAAACTTTTCTCATGGTCGATGGACACCAATGGCAACAAATTATTATTAATTATTTGCTAGTATTGGATATTTTACAATTTCTAATGTACTCCAATCTTGGTCTCTACATTGATGATCAAATTGATGAAGAAAAAGTCTATCAATATCTTGCAATATATCGTCCTTCATTTTGCATTGAACATTATCAATGATTTAGTCAGTGTCATTGGCGACGATGAGTGGAATGTAGTTCGATTTGTGTGTATTCATTATCTTATGTGTTTTATTATTTTCCTACTTTCCATAATGAATTAGATTCTAAAACAAAATTGACTTGTCTAAGTGAAATACATTTTCCCTCTGATTTCGTTCGTAATGTAGGATATCAATTATCGATCTTTAACGATGCAATGCTGTACAATATTCAACTTATCAATATAGAATACCTATCTTTTCAATTTCCAATTGATGATCGATTTCTGACAATTATTTCCGATTTTGAAAGTTTACATTCACTTTGTGTAACTATTCCGACGACAATTTGTCAATCTCAATTACAAGCGTTACTTGATAATGCATCACGTCTATATTCATTGTCGTTTGAATCATGAAATACTTCTACCACGCCATCATATCAATGTACCAGTGGATCAATTTATCAACTCGATTTGCAAGGTTCCAGCCAATCTGGTTGTAAACATCTTTATACTAGTCAATAATGCTTAGATTTAAGTCGATCATCCTTAGGTATTCAATGTCATGTACTACTTATTGAAGTCGAAAAACCTATGTGTATTTTGGCATTAAATCATTTAATGATCAATATGATCAACGTAGAAATAAGTTTGATCTTGTCAAACGTTTACAAAACTGTTTGCCGTCAAAATGGATTGTAACTCGAATGTGTTATGGATTGCTTATTATTAAGTCATGATTTTTCTTGTATATAAATTTAGTTGAATAAACGAGTAGATAAACTTGAAAATAAGAAAGCTATTATTCATACTGTTTTCTATTCTAAAGGATGTGGGTATTAGTGTGGAAGTAGGAGGAGTGGAACATTCAAATCCATTACAATCTTATTCTTAATAAATTAGTCAAGTTATTTTAATGAAATAGAGTAGTTACATAAATTTTACCACGCTTCAGAAATATAACATTGGACAGAACTAGGTAGTTCTTGAGGGTGTGGGTGAAGGAAAGAGCTACATCCAAACGCAAGTGATTTTCTTTTTTCAATAATTGATATTTCGAAACACAAATATTATTCCTCCTCTCGAGCTCTATTTCAAAACAAATTAATAAATTCATATTCTGATACATGTTGAGGGTTGAGCAAAATGTTTTATAAAAAAAAGAGTTATTTTGCGTCCTTAATGACAAAGTTCTACTTCGTTAGTTACTTTATGATAGATTCAAACTGATGATTTCTTTGCTAAATCCTAATTTTTGATCAATTTGTTTTCAATTATTCGAGATCTCCGAAAATGTCTTCCTCTCTGTACATTCAATTTCTGTCACTTCATTCGGTGAGTTCCATATTTTGTGTTCAAAGTACATTCTTTTTCAAATAAAACATAAGAATAACATCTGATATTGATACATAAATGTTTGAGTGATGTTTCCAGAAATTCATTTATGTAGCAGTGTTTTAACAGAAATGATTCATATCCAAAGTCACACCTTAGTCAAATCATATAAGTTTAATTCTCAAGACTAATCTTTTCAGCTGATCTATCAAAGAAACTACGATCGTATGTCATCATGTCTAGAGTAGTCATAAATGCTCATGCAGATTATTTACTTCATAGAAATATACACCCGTAATACGCTTAACAAATTAATACCGAAATCTCAGTCTACTACAACTAGAGATGACAACAAATTAGTAGAATTTTGTTTGAATTTAGTTTAAATATTTTTAAAACTTATTAACTACTATATGAAAACATGAATAGTTGAGAAGAATCTGAAAAGCATCTTGTGTCTGTTTATTATAACATCGACATATTTTCATATGCAAACTGTTGTATCCATTCCTAATTTCACCTCTTATGAAAGCTAAATAGCAATGACTGCTACTTTGCCATTTGAATATCTTATGACCGTTTATATTAAATAAAAAGAAACGAATGATTGTTCTCCGCGACTATCGCTCGTATCCTTATAAATACGTACTTGTTGAAAAAGAACGTACATTTCTTGTTTTCATTACAATGTCAATCGAGCTCTTGTTCACCTTGGGCAAAATTCTTATCAATAATTGGAATGATGGTAAACAAAATATTCTTCTGGACGCTGTTCAAAAAGTAATGATTAATTTGAAAGTAAGTCTGCCCAACAAAATAAGACAATGGATCTTATCAACATATTTCATTCAGACTAAATTAGGATTAAGACAAAATATCAAGACACATTTTAACGATTTACCCAACGAAATTCTTCTCATGATATGTCACTATTTGACTCCAATACAAGTACTCAAAGCATTTTACAATTATGATAATCGTTTTTTTTTCTTGCATATTTGAGTATCGACAAAATATCAATTTGACCAAATTTTCTTATTCGGATCTTCAATATTTTCTTCCATTATTCATCGAAAGATATTTTCAACCGATAATATTAACTGTTAGTAATGATCGAATGCCCACACAGATTGAAATATCTTGCGATGCATGTAACTCACAATGGAACTTTCTTTGTAATGATGGGGTGGGTGTGGGTGGGTGTGGGCGGGTGTGGGCCGTGAGTGTGGGTGCGATCGCGCAAAATAATAATACCCACCCACACACACTCACACTCACACCCACACCCACGCCCTTGTTGATCATTAGGGGCACAGGATATTTACGCACCTTGACATCAGCCTCGTTTTTACAAAAATTATCTTAGTTAGCACGTAAAAGTCATTAGCGAACTCGTATTGAGAACAATATTGCTCGAAAAATCATGTTCTATTAGTTTTCGAATACATGTTAACGGCGTTATTTTTTTAATCTTTCTCACTATCAGAAACGCATGTCATGTCTACATTTGTAGAATATCATTAACCATATCTATATTAATAATATTTTTAATACATAGGTCTTCTCATCAAAGTTACGAAATTCACGTGTACAAATGTCACGTGCTTAAACCCATGCTATTTTCCATATATACATATTTATTATGGCTAAAGTATGAAACTAGGAAATGTGTAGACTCGCTAGAAATATTGGAAAACATCGAAATATTTCAGAAAACTTTACATTATTGAGAGTACATGAAAATCTCTTAATAAGACTTGAACAAAATTTAAAATATTGTTCACCTTCGTTAAAGAGCTTCTACTCTACCTAAACACTTTAGTGAATTTGTTATAAGCCAAATAATAACAATTTTTATATACTCATCTTCGAAGAATTTATCTGATCTATACTATGACTCGTATCCAATAATCCACAACACTGAAAATATAGGATTCGAATTATTATTTTTGTCATCCATGTGGAATACAATAATTATTAACGTCTAAGGAATAAACATTGAGAATAGACTATAGTGTCTAACCTAATAAACTGAATTATTTCATAAATAAAAAATTGCATAGGCTCATTACCAAATTCAAAATCGTTATACAATATGTGTAAATAGGAACTTTAAAGAAAAAATTCAAACGAAATGTTACGTACCTTGATCTTGTTTGACTTTTGACGTTGATTGCTGTTTATTATTATATAATGAAATATCTTTTGTATTTAATGACAATAAATGAATGTAGAGTTACACAAATATTACGTTGATAATGAATAACTCTCGTATTAATTGTATACTCCGATTCAAAAACTAAACACTTTTACTTTATACGTTAATTATGCCTAAACGATATTGTCTTTGCAGCTGGTGCACATATATATATATATGCATGAAGAGAAAAGTAATGTAGATTTTTCCAGTTTTCTTTCGTCATGATAACGAATCAAACAGAAACAAGAAAAAGGACGTGACATTATTTCGGTATTTTCTTTTTTCCTCTTACATATCATTCATTCTTTATCATGACAAAAGAAAACTAGAAAAATCCACATTACTTCTCTCTTCATACATTGATATATATATGTGTGCACCAGCTGCACAGTTACTATCGTTTAGGCATAATTAACGTATAAAGTAAAAGTGTTTAGTTTTTAAATCGGAGTATACAACTAATAAGAGAGTTATTCATTATCAACATAATATTTGTGTAACTCTACATTCATTTATTGTCATTAAATACAAAAGATATTTCATTATATAATAATAAACAGCAATCAACGTCAAAAGTCAAACAAGATCAAGGTACGTAACATTTCGTTTGAATTTTTTCTTTAAAGTTCCTATTTACACATATTGTATAACGATTTTGAATTTCGTAATGAGTCTATACAATTCTTTATTCTTTCTTTCTTTCTTTCTATATTTATTGATCTGTAATAAGAAGAAAAACAATAGCAGGAAAGATGTTACAAAGACAGATCAAAAGGAGTATGTCAAAAAGCATGAGGGCTTATACAACAACAACAAAATGTCAAACATACGCCTAGTACATATGAAAAACGAACAACAATAGTAGTAACATGTAGAATCACATTAAGTTTAAGTGCTCTTTAAGATTATGTTTAAAGTTTTTGATATTAGAAGCAGAAGCAACAGAAGAGGGTAGGTTGTTCCAGTCAGAGACTGTTGAGAAGAAGTATGAATATTTAACACTGGTTAGAGCAGTGAAAGGAACCATTACATGAAATGGGTTTAAATTAGCATGTAGTCTACCAGATCTTCGCGAAACAGATGGAAACACAAGCTCATCAGGATTGAGGGTACACAACCGATGGTAGATACGATAGAAATTCACTAACCGAAAGTATAGTCGACGATCTTCCAGATTAGGAAGGCCTAACTCTCTAACAAGATTATCACTTCTAACCGTGTAGTCGAACTGACGAGTAATAATTCGTGAAACAAGCGTCTGAACTGAGTCTAGTAGTTTCGTGTGAGTTATAAATTTAGTATCAAAGACCGAACATCCATAATCAAGTTTAGCAAGAACACAAGTTAAATAGAGATGACGTCGAATAACAGCCGGAGCTTTCGAGAAAGTTCTATTTATTGCCCCTAGCATACGCCTACAGGATAACGCTGTTCGTTCAATGTGAGGCTTCCAGCTCAGATTATGTGATAAATAAATACCCAAAAGTTTTGGAGTATTTTCATGTTTTAGTAGTTCGTCATCGATATTAAATATAAGAAGTAGGAGAATCGAGTGATAGAGAGAAATAGGTCCATACACATTTATCAGGATTTAACGACATGAAATTGTTGGCACACCAGCCAACCACTCAATCAATCTCTGCTTGAACAGAACTTTGAAAATTTTGCAGATTATCTTGTTTACTGAAAGTACAAACTAGAAAAAGATCATCGTCAAATAGACTATGTAATACTGATGAAGATATAACATCGGAAAGATCATTTATGAAAATAATGAATAACAATGGGCCTAATGTAGACCCCTGTGGGACACTAGAATAAGTATAAGACAAACTTGAAAGAACATTATCGATCTTAACACGTTGTGAACGATCAGTTAAGTAGGATTGAAACCATCCTAAGAGTTTTCCCTCCAAACCAACCGATTTTAATTTATTAAGTAGAACAAAATGAGGAACACGATCGAAAGCCTTGGACAAGTCGAAACTAATACCAACACTGATTTTATTATTTGATGCATTTGAGAATAATCTGTTAGTGACATGGAGTAGTGCATCCGTGGTAGATGCATTTGGCCTAAAGCCGAATTGATTTTTAGACAATAATTTATTTGTCAGCAGATGATCTAACAATACAGCATGCACAATTTTCTCGAAAACTTTGCTGACTATCGTTAGAAGAGAAATAGGCCTATAATTTTCCACTAAGTTCGCAGATCCAGTTTTGTGTATAGGAATTACCAGAGATGTCTTTCACATATCGGGAAAAATTTCCTCATCAATAGATAGCTGGAAAATATGACACAACTGTTTCGAAATAGAAGTGGCACAGAGTTTGAAAAACTGAGTAGGTATATCATCTATGCCTACACTTGTAGTATTATTTAGTTTATTGATAGAATCAATTACCATTTCTTCGGTTACTGTGATATTAGTTAATAAAGAACCGATGAGAGAGGAATTAGATGGCAATAGTGGTCCTTGTTAGTTCGTGTAACATGAATGAAAGAACTTATTAAACTTTTCTGAAGTTTCGGAAATAGAAGATGAAATTCCATCACTGTCAGATACATACTGAGAAATGTTTTCTCTTAAGTTACGATATTTATTTATTGCCGACCAAAACTTCGATGGATCGGAAAAACAACGAGAAATAGAAGAAAAATGGTTTATTTTGTCCTGTCTTAGACATGAAATAACACTATTACGTAGAGATTTAAAATGCAAAAGATATTCATTATTATCTGTATTATTACGATGTAATTTGTAGGCAATATCGCGTTTCCTCATCAATTTTTTGGTTTTATTTGATACAGGAAATTTGAGTAGCGAGCAAAAAGAAACTTGTTTACGTTTTACATGCTCAGATAGACATAAGTTAACATGCGAATGCTACAATGTAGCCGCCTTATTAGGATCAGTACCAGAACAAAAACTATCAAAAATATTACATAAAGCATTATTAAGTTTTTGAAGATCAGAGTGTTTAAAATCCCACAGTTTTGAAGGAAGAAGATGAGTGGTGTACAAAGATTGTATCAAAGGATACAATTAAAGAAAAATGAACAGACTTTCCAATAGAAGGAAAGTCATGTACAACAGGAGCATTCCAAGTTGATGGAAAAAGAATATAATCCAGACACGTACTATTTGATGTAGTGATATTCAGTTGAGTTTTGGAAAGAGAAAAAGTATCTGATAAAGCACATAGAGCCTCATATTCTATTTTGGATGATGGATCAGCATTATAATTCCCAGTCAAGAGAAGGCTATCATAATGATGAGGTAAAAATATAACAAGAAAAAGCTCCAAATTTTCAAAATAGTCAACTGTTTTTTTAGTTTATGAGCGATAAGAGTTACATAAGTACAAGGTGGAATTTGAAACAGCAATAGAGAAAAGTTGACTTTCAAGCTCTAGATCATGAGCTAGCAAAGAATGCGGTAAAGAGTCGTATATATAAACTGCCACCCCACCAGCAAAACTCGGACGATCGAGTCGATAAAACGAGTAGCCCGAAATTATAAGTTCATTATCAGTAATGGAATCAGATAGCCATGTTTCTTAGATACATAAAATATGTAATTAGTTGCTTTCTTAGTTTTTGTTGATTAGAAACAAACAGACGAAGAGAATCTATGTATTTATTTAGACCTTGAATGTTATGATTAAAAATAGAAAAAGTCTTATCAGAACTGTTATTGCTTACAGAAGAAGAAGGAAAAGTAGACACAGATTGCTTTTTGACTTGACTCCTTTTACAGCGTGATGGTAAAAAGTTAGTTCATTTTTTGTTTTTAATACTAAAATCTATTGAAAATTTTTAAGATAATTGTCAATGTCATTGGATAGAGTAACAGAACCTATATACTTTAAATGTATTCCATCTTTATTTAACATATTATCTTGAAATCCAAAATTAATAATATCAATATCATTATCTTGTAATGATTGTAGGAGAGTATTAAATTCATCAACATCGACATTAACTTGTTCAACAGATGATTTAATACCTTCCACATTTAATTTAGGAATTGTTATAAAAATTAATTTTGTTTTTGGATATGATGCTTTAACTGAATCTATTAATGCAATTATTTTAGCAAATGCATCCTGTGGTTTATCATATTTCATATTTATAGTACCAATACACATAACCATTGCACTTGTTTCATTATATTCTTTATTTTTAATAGATTCATTCATCTGTTCAATTGTACAATTTGGTTTTGTTCTGACTGTGGTATTAAATTGTTTATTATTTAATATTGTATTACCTAATTGAAGATCTCTTGTAATACTACTTCCAGTTATTAATACAGTTTTTGTTGATGATGAGGTAGTTGTTTTAATGTTTCAAGTACTAGTAATTTGTCTTTGTGGTGTTGACTACAATCATGGTGATTTAGAACGAGTAAATTGTTGCTGTTGAATAGATGAAGCAAAGTTATTATTATTTGCTTATGAATGAGCTTCATTTATTGCATAATTATCAACTGCCAATGGATTTGATGATGACACAGGATAAATTAGATTACACGATTGATGATGAGATGCATAACAATGAGGTGCACAAAATGTTTTAATTAACATAGAATTTTGATCCAATAATCCCATCATAATTTCATTGTGGTTGCTGTTGTTGTTTATGGAGTGATTTAATGTACCATCTGTTGTTAACTGACTCGTATTTAATAAGTTTTCATCAATTTCATTTGATAAAAGGTTAATAATTGCAGCTAAATCATCTTTTGATAAATTTTTTATATCACCTTGCGTATTATTAATAGAATTTCGATAAGTGTTGACAATTGTTTCTGATCTGTTCAAGATACCGGTAATATATTCAGAAGAAAATAATTTCGTAAATAAAAGCAAATAGTCTGCTAAGCATGAAAAATGTTATTGACTAGTGCAACTAAAAATGATGATTAGATTAAATGAATTTGTTTTTGTTAATAATTTTTATCTAATAATATTTATAACGAAAATAATTGAACCATAAACAGATCAATCAATAACTTTAGTTAGTTCAACTAATAAAGATGATTTAAATTGGCAGAATTTCTTTTTTTTTGTAATTATTTTATCTAATAATAATTATAATGAATACAATTTAACCACAATCAGATCAATAAAATAGTTGTTTGTTAGGTCAACTGATAATGATGATTTAGATTTAATAAATTTGTTTCTTTTTTAATTTTCTATCTAATACTAATTATAACAAATGTAATTTGAACCACAAACAGATCGATCAATAATTGTTTATAAGTTCAACTAATAATAATGACTTAGATTCAATGAATTTGTTTTTTTTTAATTTCTATCCGATAATAATTATAATGAATATGATTGTCAATTGTTCAAAACGAGGAACACAAAACGATTGATTTAGGTCATAATTATCTATGTCAATCTTTTCGATTGCCAACGAGAATAATTTTAGCTTTAGATAACTAAGAATTAATGGTATTAACAACATGTTATTAGTTTACACATTCAATTATTATCTGTTGTTTCTAAGCAGAGTTCATATACGTAGCATCCTTGCTTCCTTCGTACTAAAACGTTCCATTACTACAGTTTTCAAATCATAGTCTTCTGATAGAACTATATTGGCATGTGTCTTCCTTCTTTTCCATAAATGAATCACACCACGTTTTCTACCCCTATTTTCTTTTATTTATTCGACGCGTCACTGTCTTCTAGGCAAAATACTAAAAGAAACCCTAGGGATAAACTGTCTGAATAAGTATTAGTATGTACAATTAGTATATAAGAAAAAAAAAGAGATTCTAACAAGATATCGTAACAATCTTCTCTTATGAGTCAACGATAGTACTTATAAGAATACACTATTGCAATTTCTCCATGACACACATACATCTTAGACATCTTTTCAAAATCATAAATAAAATTTTCGAATAGTAATAATAACAATAAACGATGGAGGGTGCACATGGCGCGTATAGGGTGTCGAATACACCCACCCACACTCACACCCTCTCGTTATTATGATTTTGGTTGATATCTTTACTGCTTGTTATTATTTATGGCTTATTTCAAACATCAATCAACGTGCTTCACTGCCGAAGTCGCTCTTTTCTCGGTCATCATCTTCGAGCGCAGGGCTTATATGAAGTGAAAGATAATGGAATAATACACGATTCTATTCGTAAATGCCCTCTAGATTTAATTCAATGTTAAGATTATATGAAGTAAATTTAGGTCATACATTAACAGGTGAAATCATCGATCAACTTTATATGATGTTCAAAACAGATTATGTTTCAACGTTAGATTCATCATTTACAAGAGAATTCCCATAACTCTTCAGTCTTTATTGTATATTGTTACTTAAGAAAAAATTCGTGAGGCCATCAAACATACTAGATACTGGGTAAAAAAATATTTTTTTTTGAATTTTTTTGCTCATTCAGCGCTTTAATGTTCGAAACCATCAACCACAAAATTTTAACTTTTATTACCCATCCTTTGAAAATAGTCAAGACTGACTTTTAGCACTGCCATGAGTTCAATGAAAAAACCACTAAAAAATGCTTTATAAAAATTGTGCCAGACTTTTAAAGGAGGGGTAATGCTAGTTGAAATTTTGTGGTTGATGGTTTCGTACATTAAAGCGCTGGATGAGTAAAAAAAATATTATTTTTTATCCAGTGTCTCGTATATGGGCATGATACTCACTGGTCTTGCAAATCCTCTCTTCAATCGTTTTTATTTGTTCCTTTTTTTTACTAATAAAGCTCAACATACGTATATGATTTTATCATCATTAAGGTAGCCATCTCCAAATCCTATTTGTTTTGTTTTCCTCTTCAATGGTGATTTATGTATACTACGATATCTATTGCTTAACGAGTTGCCCAATAGAATCTCTATTTGATTCCGGCTAAGGATCCGGTTCGGCTAGCTTCACAGTGGTCCACTTATAAAAGTTGTTTTCTTTCTTCTATATTGTATACTTATTGCAAACGATTACAAATATATTTTAATGGATAAAAAACAAGCAAATCGACAAGATTTAACCAGTCATAGTGTTAAGCAAACACCTGACTGTATTTATGAACGTTTACGTTCTCAAATTTCTCGATTTGAATCAGTTGCAGAATCAACTTCACATATATTCTTCGTTTTTGGTGCATCTGTACGTGAGATCTATTGAAATCGAGTTAAATTCTTTCTTTGCTTTTATTATTGTAGGGTGATTTAGCTAAAAAGAAGATTTATCCAACACTTTGGTTTGTAAAAGCAGAAAAATAAGTTTAAGAATTTATTTGATTTATTAATTGTTTAGGTGGCTTTATCGTGATGGATTTTTACCAGAACGTATTCGTTTTATTGGCTATGCTCGTAGTCAAATTACAATTGAAAAAATCTTTGAAAATGCTGCGAAATATATGAAAGTAATATAAGAATTTTCAATAATTAAAGATTATAAATAAAAAATTAGGTTCAAGAAGATGAACGTGAAAAATATGAAAAATTTGTCGAAATAAATTCCTATGTTGCTGGTTCATATGATAATGGAAAAGATTTGGAAAAATTAAATACTGAAGCTAATAAATTATCAAAGCAAGAAAGTGCACATCGACTTTTTTATTTAGCATTACCACCAAGTGTTTATGAAAGTGTTACAGAATTGATTAGTAAACATTGTCGACCAAAATCGTATGATTAAATTTTATATATTTTCATTTGTTGTTAATTGTTTATTTTTTTTCAGGCCTGGTTGGTTACGTTTAGTTGTTGAAAAACCATTTGGTAAAGATCTTGAAAGTTCAAATAAATTATCTTCACATTTGAGTAATTTTTTTACTGAAGAAGAAATTTATCGTATTGATCATTATTTGGGTAAAGAAATGGTACAAAATATCATTGTACTTAGATTTGCGAATCAAATTTTATCAAGAATTTGGAATAGAGATTCGATTGCATCAGTTAACATTATTTTTAAAGAAGATATTGGAACACAGGGAAGAGGTGGTTATTTTGATGAATTTGGAATTATTCGGTATTGAGAAATTTTTAGTAAAATGAATGAATAGGAAATGCTGAACATGAAGTCTAATTCGATGCTTTCAGAGAAAGTTTACATTAAATAGTTTAATAAATAATGATTTTAAGGATGGTTCGAGCGTTCAGACGGGTTCCTATTGTTTCTGATTAGAATAGTCAAAATTTTATTTTTTTATTTTTTTTTATGCTCATTTGAAAGGCCATTATCTAAATCCAAAATTTTATGTGCATCTGGATGTTCCATAGGGTGTGGGTATGGGTGTGGATTTTCTCTTAAAATCCATACCCATACTCTCTTCGACGTAAAGATTTTTGATGAGTTTTCAAAAGAGAAAAAAACATTTTTAGCGGTTTTGATTGCTATGACGCGATTGTAAAGCAAAATAAATGCGAAATTTGGATTCAACGTCAAAAACTACATAAAAATCGAATAGATTCTAGAGACATTTTTTTTCCTGGGAAAAACAAACTCCTGGGAGGACTACAGATGATTTTTTTCATAGAAAAAACATTTCTCTGGAATCTATTCGATTTGATGTTGACTTTAAAAAAAGTCAGTAGATATACTGCGAAGAGTCTATCGTTATGAATTCATAAATTATGATCTATCCCACATATGTGGGACTATATAACCCTATGAAAAAATGCTCTAACTTGTTGAATCATAATTCTAGCAGGCATTTAGGGGATAATTTATCACTATTTTTGGGATAGTAATTAGGTACTACTAAGAAGTCGGTCTAGGCTAACTTTACTATAGAACATTCAAATGCGCATAAAAAAATCAAAGATTAAAATTTTGATTAGTGTCTCGCTTCCTTGATCCTCTCGTAAGCCGTCTTGTAATCAAGTGCAATTTTCACGGCTGCTAAATCTTATTCATTTAGTATCCTACCTTAATCTTGTTATGAATTTCAACGTCAAAGAGATATCTCTATTCGTCTTTTTCACATTTTTCCTTAAGAAGTTCACAAGGAAACATTCCTAAATATCTGCTCACTTTTGAGCTAGAACTTAGTGAACTATGTCAATCATATAAAGAGTTCGTGCTCATGGCTTATTTCTGAGAAGATCGAACATTTTTTAGTGAATTTTGATCTGATGATTTGTTTACATTAAAACAGTAACTAGATTAGCTTACATAAAAATTTCAGACTTTTCGAACC